CAAGGTATGCTATCTTTTTACGGCTCTTCATTAAAAAATATTTAGAAAGTACACTATTTGGTTTAAACTCATCCTTAGTTTGACAGCTTTGTTAAAAGGTCGTCGGTTTTAGAGAGAATTGAGGAAGTAATTCTATGAACACGATTAATTCTGATACGAGTACGGTCCAACTGGTTGCTTGTTCTACTGGATTTTTTAAGAGAAAACTTCTGATCCTAATCGATTAGCATCGTACCAATTGTTCTTTTAGCGTCAGAAGACAGATAGTTAGAATGAAAATGAAATAACAGAGGTTAGATTAACCGATTTCTCTTTCGATTACAGTTCACATTCCAATAGAGAAACTCATGACTGAACTAGGCGACCAACATAATCTCTAAATCAAGATATATGAAAACTGACGTAATATCTAATGTTTCCTTAAAATAATTAGTTGTTGAAGAACTTCTGAGCTCAAATTACATTGGATACCGATTGATATCAGAAAGAAGAAAAGAGTAAAAAGTCAACACATATTTGAAGTGTTTATGTCCGTAACGTTGTCAGTGAGGAATAAGTAAATAATTTTTCTGAAGACAGACTAAGAGATTAACTCACTGCTACTTTGATTCATGATGTTTTGTTGACCTACTTTATTTTTTCAGAATGCGCCTGATTGATATACGAGAAATGCTTATATAGGGAGAGAGCAAGAGACAGAGATTAGTATGAGAAAGAATCATACAGAGAGAATTTAAAGGAAAAAGAACTGGAAAATTAGTGGGAGATAATATCAATATCGACACACTTTCTCATTAAGACCCGACGTGCTTCTGAGCATCTTTATGATATAGGAAGCCGAAAAAGAAATAACAAGAAAACAGTGACGAACGGAGAAGAAAACGCACGAACAAATAATGATAAAAAGGTAAAAATAATAGAGAATACAAAATTAAGCTTTTCATGTGGACTGGATTATTCCTTTCATTCGCATAGTAGCAGAAATGTTGCACATATTTTAGAATTATTTTTTTACGACATTATTGATAAAAATTAGAGTGTGATTTCCTAGAATGAATCAATAAAGAATGTTCTCGAATTGTGTCAAACTATATGTAAAGGTAATATATAGTCGATCGTTGAAAAAGTTCTCAAGTATTTCTTAAAAAAGGTGTATAAGGCAGCGTTTTCAGTTAATCTACATCTCAGTTTCTCAAGCGTAACGCGATGACGTTTTGGCCACAGTATTATTAGCTTTTCTCAGCAATTAGATTATCTAGTAACTTCTCTCTTTCGTTATTAGATGTGTCTCTACCTTCTCCAAATTCTCTGAATATTTGAGCTTGTTTGAATGAACCGTTTGAAAATTAAAGCAAAAATAGGCGATGTAACGCAATGATGAACGAGGGACAAAAAGTCCAGGGTGACCTGTTTATTCTTTATTTTACTGAGAATGTGCGCTACATTAAAAGAAACATTCCATAGACGTTTTGTAGCAAACAGTTTGAGGTATCAAATGGAAAAAAGAACTCTTCAAACAGGCTTCTTATTTTGAAGAGTGATTGGTTTAATTAACATAACGCGATGACGATGATTTCTATTAACAAGTGTTTTTCTATGTTACGTTTGCTATATGCATAATTGTGTAAAGACGAGATACTATTTTTATCTCCATGATTAAACTATACAGATGTTAAATATGTTTCCCTACACTTTATACCATACTCTACAAGATGCACATAATAGATTTAAAAAATGATGACTTCAAAATTTCCGGTCCTGGAGGTTATGCGTTATGACCGATCTACAAAAATTAGCACATACGTAGAACCCATCAGGTCAGTTCCGATTCCGGTCTGGGTGTGAAAAAACTTATATTCAATGGGTTTTAGTCATCGAATACAAAAACCGGGGAATGTTGTCCCATATCTTCTGAGCGACTATCCAATTTTGATTAGAAAATTTCATTGAGATTATCAAAGTGCGGTTCGACCGTGTTCGGGTACGGATTCGAAAATTTTGGAACCGACTGATTCTACACCTGTGCAAATGATACTCTCGATATTAGATAATGAAATTTGTAATAATTATCTCAAATGACATTTTTTTTCAATTCAGATATGAGATCACTCTGATGACTTGCATATTATTTAGACAGGATGGGTGTGTATGTGAAAAGAAGTGGAATATGCACGCACACACTCCAGGCCAACAACGACACCCACATCCACTCGCACACCCACTCCTTTAGAGAAGGAATTCCTGTATGACACGTAAGAAGTGAATAATTCAATAATTATAATAGAATCTATTTAGTATAGAAATAAATATGAGTGCACAAATTCTTGAATTCCAACATTCAAATTCATAACATCGGAATACTCTAGAGGGTGTGTTAATAATGTGAGACATTATAACTCAAATAGATGAAAATCGAAAATTGTTACCAATGAAGCATGAGCTGAAAACGGCCATTATTACAATCAGAAGTCACCTGAATTACGAATAGCAGTAGATCTGCAATCACGTAGAACAAATATTACGTAGTTTCGAGATTAATGAAAATTAAAGCTAATTAATTTTCGAACAAGTCAAAACTAAAACAAGACTGGACTATAATGTATATTATTGCTGAATACCACATTACTTTTATTAAGTGTCATACTCTCTAGTTATTACAATCAAAGTGTTCCCAATCATTTTATTTAAGACAGCCTATCACTTGTTGCTTCCTTTCGATTTCAATTAGTATTTGACTACAAATACTACACAGTACTCTAGCGAAAACTCTAAAACAATTTACGCTTCTTTGAACATTGTCGGCGCTATTCATCTTTTAATATCTCTTTTTAATAGAGTCCCGTTTAAGCCTTCAACTTCTTCAAAAAAACAAACTTTGCTTTCGACTTTAATTCTCATAAATAGTAGCTTCTATGAAGTATTTCAGAATTAGAAAACTTCTATTTCTTATCTACAAATATTTAAAGAATAGATGCTTTTCGAAGAGTAATAGCTATTATGAAAATTTCGTATCTGAGAAATATAAAGGTAATAGACTCTGAAAATGTTCATACAAGCTAATGTATGAGAAATTCTCAAATCTAGGTAGTTTCAAGAAAAAAAATTCAAAACACAACTTTTCAGAAAATCTTTCGTCCTGCATGGTTTTCTGATAAATGGACATATCAATAATTCAATGAATTCACTAAATCTCAAAAGAAACTCAAATTTCGTCAATATTTCTACTAGAATACTACCTAGCGCCTATTGTGAAAAGCAAGTTGACATCAGAAAGAGACAACAGGGAAGGTTTCCTCTTTAGTAAATCAAGCTACTGCTTAAACTTAGTCTCATCTACACTGTCGCCTTCATTTCTTTTACCTGTTATTAAGATGGATACTTCGGTTTATTGAAGAATATTAAATCCATCTTTGCAGGTTGTTGTTACTCTAGCAAGGGATGAGATAACATTATTGCCGAGAATTTCGAGTCCAAAAACTTAAATAATTTCTCTCTTAAATTTAGCTCTTAATGAAAAATTTACTGAAGTAAATGACCATTCGTCAATTATGAAACAAGCCAATGATATTCGATATCAAATAATCAAGAAGAAACTGAAGACAATACAACGTAATTTAAATGAATTTTACCAAAACTGTAATGTGTATGAACATGGTTTAATATTTAGATTGTAAATATCTTGATATTATTAATTTAAAACAAGATTATGCTGATATTGGACAACATAAACAACAACGAACTGATGGAACAATATAACAAAACCTAGTTGAATTTATGTCTTTATTAAGAATAATATTTATTTAGATTCATAAACATATTTATTAATGTTATCAGTCTTGTTTTTCAATCGGTTTTTATAATAGAAGTCAATCATTTTCTATCGAAAAAATTGTTCTTTTCCTTTCAAAAGTTCATTTTT